TTAATGTGGTATGTATATATTCTTTGACCTTACTGTATAACACAAATGGCCCGATTAGCATTTAGTGGTTCTAGCAAGGATGCATGTGTAAAAATAACCAGTTTGAAGCCACTGGACACAAGGTTCCTGGTATCCCTTGAACTCTTGCCGAAAGAAAATTCTGGCAAAGTTTCATGATACCACCAATCTCTTTCTGTTAACTAAGCAAGCAACAGTAGCTATGAAAAGAGAAAGAGAAAAGAGAGTAGAAAGAAAAGGTCACCAAAAACCTAAAGGTCACCACAAAAAGGTCACCACAAAAAGTATTACAAGCACTGATTCAAAAGACGACTTAGACTCCTTATTCACTCATCCTGCCCCTTTGATGGCCCTTGTTTTCCAAGTTCATAATTCTTCTTATCCAACTTAAATCTTTCCATTAGCTGAACAAAAGGAAATCAATGGCATGTAAAACCTTCCAAAACCTTCTCTTGTTTTTTAAGTTATGCACTCCTTGAGAAAAATTCAGCAAGTCTTTTTTGTTTAGCTATCATTTCCCTTCTAAAAATGGATTTGGGGGCTGCCAAACATAAAGGAATTTTAGGAAACAATTTTGCCTTATAATTGTTCCAAAGTCTCAATATGGCATATCTGATAAAATGATTTTTAAAAAATCTACATTCACCGGAAAGATCTCAAATAGCAAGCGATTGATTTAGAGCTGCAAGCAGACTTTCCAGCCTACCCAGAAATACCTTCTTGAGTCACTCTGAACATCCTCTCCAACCAGCTGGACTGGACATCTCAATCACATAACAATCCTAACATTCAGAAGGGCCTTCTCCTTAGTCCAATTCGATGCCCTCCCAACAGCTGCTACTAAAGGAAGATACCAAAAAATCCCCTTTGAACAGAGACTGTGTTATGTAGTGGAGAAATAATTGAATCAATGGAACATGCTATTCTCTATTGTCCTCTCTATGCAGGTACTTCCTAACAATTATTATTTCTACTCTTTATTAAACATCCTGATCAGTCCAATCTGTTTTATCTCAAGATGATATTATTGCATCAATCTAATTTTATTCCCTTGACTACAGTCAAGTACTGTTCTATAATCTGCACAGTATACCACAGCACTAACCCTAATCCTTTTTAGATATTTTAGAATAACTATATTTTTCTTGTGTCTTAATTGACTTTTGTATTTTATTTGCTGGTCTATGACTGAATAAAGATTTGATTGAGTCATATTTTAAACCAACATCTTTGTATTCTAGTTATTTATCTTAAAACTTGCTGGCACAACAAAACATTTCAGTTTTTTCATCAAAGAATTCAGGGAATCCTATAAAATCAAAACCAAAACATCAGCAAAAGCTCTCAATTTAAAGGTCTTATTTATTTTTATTTTTAAGCCCATTATCTTCTCATCTTGTCTAATATCTCTATTCAAAGCTTTACAAACCAAAATAAACAGCAAAGGGGACAGAGGATACCTTGTCTTGTCCCTCTTCTGAATATGAAAATGGTTAATCAATTCACCGTTAACTATAACTGGAGCCTTTGGGGATGTACAGTATATATCATTGATTTGATTCCATGAAGAAATTCTCTCTGAAGACTGATGTGAATTTATGTGATAAGACCTTGTCCAATTGTCCCACCATCTGTTCCTCTTCCCAGCTCAACAAATCAACTAATGCCTGAATAAACATTTTTCATATATTTTCAAAAGGGTTCTATTTAGAATAACCCTAAACCTCAAGAGTTCCTTCTCTCTGAGTTCCAGCAGAGCCAAATTTGCCCTGCCAAATTGTCCAGTCCCCTCCTCAGATCCCTAATTTCTGATTTTTTTCTCCAAAAGTTCCATCCTGACATTAAATGTTTTAATTTCCACTGAAATCTTATCCAGTCTTTTTAAAAAAAGTTTTTCAAAGTCTTAAACTAAACTTCTAAAGATTGTGCTAATGTTGTACCCAAGATGTCAAATAATCATATTCATAAGAGACAGTGGAAGCTGCTGCTCATCTCTAAACCCTGATCTTGATACCCCTATGTGGAACCATGGTCTATATCATACACTGCTAGCAAAAGATTTATTAACAGCCTTTAATTCAAAGGAGGCAGTCCTTGTTTGTAAATCCAACCAAATGATGGGAAGGTAGATAGAAAAAACAAGCAGAGCAATTTGATGCTCCAAGCTGAAGAACATAGATTCATCAAAAAATAGTCTTTCAAAAATAAAAAATCAACTTAATTCTGTTTAGATGCTCTGAGTCTCTTTCGTTTCCAAGTTTTTGCAACTCAGACAAATATAAGAAAAAATTCTTAACACTTCAATATAAATATAGCTCCAGAAATAAAGTCTCTAAACAGAAGTATTCATTTTTTTTAAAAAAATTGATTTATATGCCGCCCTTCTCTGGAGACTCAGGGCGGCTTACAATGCGTTAAGCAATAGCCTTCATACTTTTGTATATTTATACAAAGTCAGCTTATTGCCCCCACAAACTGGATCCTCAATTTACCTACCTTAGAAAGGATGGAAGGCTGAGTCAACCTTGAGCCTGGTGAGATTCAAACTTACAGTAATTGCAGACAGCTGGTGTTAATCACAATGCTATCAGTCTGCTGAGCCACCAGGCCCTTTCCAAAGATCCAAAGAAAGTTTCTCTTTAGCTACAAGGAAGAATACATCGAAAAAGAGAGAGAGAGAGAGAGATGACACTCATCTCAAAATTTTGTTTCTGCAATTTACTTGCAAGGAGTGACAATCCAGGGTTCATATGGAACAATTCTGGTTTTTAGAAGAGATAGGGCGCCCTTGCTGTGCAGGGAGCAAAACAAGCTGTCCCATCATCTCCAAGATTAGAACGTTGGAGGCATCTAAGCTGCCATTTTCATCACCAGAAGCTGTTTGCTTAGGCTTTTTTCCCTAGACAATGGAACCAATTAACATCCCATTCATTAGCATCAATGGGACTGCCATAGGAAGACTTTTTCTAGCCATAGTGTGAGTTGGAACCTCAAAAATAAGGTGTCACAAGAACTGGAACCCTTTGCATAAGACACCCATGAAATACACATTGTTCTCCACCACAACCTGAAACACTATGCTGTGGTACCCTATTTCCCAGAAAATAAAACATCCCCTGATAATAAGCCCAATCGGGCATTTGAGCGCATGCACTAAAATAAGCCTCCCCCTGAAAATAAGCCCTCCCCAAAAATATTTAAATGCAGAGCTGGAAATAAGACGGCAAGATGAACCCCATCTTGCTCCATACCCTCCCCAAATAATAAGACCTCCCTGAAAATAAGGCGAAGTGCTTATTTCGGGGTTCAAAAAAATAAAAGACAGGTCTTATTTTTGGGGAAACACATTAGATGTCCCTATTATCTACAATGTGGTGGCACGCATCCCTGATACAAGGAAGCAAAAGTGGGAGGAATCTATCCCCTTCTACCACCAAGGTATATCCTCACTCCCTAAATCCTAAATAACTTCTCTTTTGTCATCCATTTTATGACAGTCATAATACTCATATAGTAGTACACAGCCCATCTAACAGAAAATGAAACATTTTTTTAACCTTAACACATATGGTACTCAAGTAAAAATAGGTAATATTGAAAGCTACCTTGTACAGGGTCAAAGCTATTTGCAACTCAGAGACAGCCAGATTATCTTGATGACTTGCTGTTAAACTAAGATATTTTGGAAGTGATCTGGCTGAATATTGTGACAAACATTCCAAAAACCAACCCTTTCCCACTCACCAATATCTAAACCTCATCCCTGGAAGTCACGAGTAGTTTTACCTTAGCTGGAATGTTGACAGGCAAGTGATTCCAAAGACTGCACAAACTGCTTTTGCCAGATTTTGTTCTATTGCGCTGGCACCAGAGTAGGATAGACTGCTTTGATACAGTGTGAGAATCGTGCATTGGCACAACTGTGTGCCTGTGTTGTGGGATGGGTGGGAATAGGTATTTGTTTTCCTAAGGGTGACTATATGATAAAACTCCCCACAAATACACCTTGGGAACTCCATAAAGTGATGATGGCCATGGGAGGTAGTGTGATGTTTCTAGAAGAGCTTGGTAGCCACTGGTACTATTCATAACAATAACGTACAGGGGTTGTTTTGGTTCTTATGAGGGTCCAGCTATATCTTTGATTGAGTACTAGTGTTGGTTTGCGTTTGGGTGTGTGTGGGAGCAAATTAGACTTTTTTAGGAGCTTAGGCTCAAGGGCATCACTGAGACCCCCCCCCATTTGATTTTGTTGTTGACAGTGCTGAGGGTATGTGGTTTTGTTGCCTCTGAAAACCAAGGAATATTAGGAAGACATGTTCAGTTGCTGCCAGGACTCCAGCAATGAAACTTAAAATGTTCACCATACCTCCAGAGGAGGAGGGGGAGGGAGGGAGGAAGGGAGGGAGATCAGGGCACCTCACTGAGTTCCATGAAATGGCAGATTAAGCAGAGTTTTAAGTTAGACATACTCATGACTCTCTTTGGGTCTGAATCCAACTCCATAAGAATTAGTAGGCTGGTCAAGTAATTCCTCTTTGATGTTTTCCCAGCCCATTGACTTCTCCCTCGAAGGAGAACAGTGCCATTGTGTCATATACAATACCATACTTATTTCATGGGACTTCAAACGACTTCAAGCCATTCAGTTATACTATAGTTTTGTAAGAAGGTGGATGTAAAATATTCCCAATTGCTTTTCTTTTATCTCCTGAAGGGACTAAGTACAACAACTACTTATCTTGATGCAAACTGATATAAAAGAAGCCCTTAAGAGCAGGAAGATTCTCCGCTTATCTAGAAAATCAAAAGGATAAGTTACCAGAGCTCAAACAATTCACTACTGTGTTTCCCATCCTAAATTGCTTCTTACAAGTAAAAATAACCTTAATGTTTCATACAAGGTAGGGCTTTGAGGACTTCATGTATACTAGCCAAACGTGAGAAGACACTCAGTGCCTGCAATCATTAACTTAACTCAAAGTGTGAATTCTAATTTATTCTTCGCAATGGACAGACCTGCTCCACTCTGCTGAAGAAACAAGCATGGCAAGTCCTACCATAGGGAAGAGCAGAAGCAACCTCCAAAACTCAGCTGCTCAGCTGAGTGAGATGTCAGAGAACTTGACCTTGAAGCGAGAAATTGGCTTAACCAGTGCTATCTCACTCGTAGCTGGAACTATGATTGGATCAGGTATTTTTATGTCACCAGAATGGGTACTGCATAACATAGGGAGCCCTGGTGGTAGTCTCATTATTTGGGCAGCCTGTGGTTTGGTGGTCATCTTTGGAGCTCTGTCCTATGCTGAGTTGGGAATTTTAATCAAAGAATCTGGGGGTGACTACATTTACATCCTGAGGACTTTTGGGTCCCTTCCAGCTTTCCTTTTTGCATTCACCTCAATCATTGTGGTAAGGCCTGCTGGCGTGGCAGCCGTCTCACTGAGCTTTGCAGAATATGCTCTGGTGCCATTTTATTCTGGCTGCTCCCCTCCGCAGGTCATGATCAAATGCACTGCTATAAGCTGCATCCTCTTCCTGACATTGGTCAACTGCCTCAGTGTCAGGTTAGCGACGTCCATGATGAACATATTTACGGCTGCCAAACTCTTGGCACTATTGGTCATCGCAGTGGGAGGACTAGTGCTGCTTGCTCAGGGGCAAACCCACAGTTTCCAAGATGCGTTTCAAAACACCAATATGGAGGCTGGAGCTATTGGAATTGCATTTTATCAAGGTCTCTGGTCTTTTGATGGATGGAACGTCTTGAACACGGTGACTGAAGAAATTAAAAAACCTGATGTGAGTGAAGACTGCTTTTAATTTTTTAATAGATTAATACATTATAGATTAATTTATGGATGATACCTGAATTGTGATTTCATTTTGACATTTTATAGATAGTTGGTTTAGATCTGCAGATTTGACACTCAGGGTTATCAAATGACCCAATTTTCTGGAAATTGTCTGTACAGGTCATTTCTGCCTGTTTGGCTTAGGTTCCCAGCTTTCATTAAAGAAACTGAAAAAAGTAGAAGTCACTGAGTAGTAGAACTAGTGGCATGGTATTGTTCTAATAAGGCTAGACAGGCATGTACAGTATAGGTAGGAAAAGAAGATACTTACAATGTCACTATCTTAAATGAGAATTTCTAGATTTCTTTTTGTTGGAGATTTGCGTCCAGCAGGAATGCTTGTTAGAGAATACGCTCCTGAGCATATATAGATGCTAAAAGAATATCAAGCCATTAGGTGGCATCAGGTTTCATTAGTAAGAAAATGCTTATAATATAGAGTATAGTATACAGAGTATAGGATGCAGAGTATAGTCTTCATCTAGCTATTAGTGTAGCTCTACTCAAAAATGTTACATTTCTAAATTAGTGGCGGTTCAATGGGCAACCCTGTTCTCTGCATTCAATAAATGTTGCCATGATGAATTGATCAAAATATCACATTTGCATCATATTAGAACAGATGGAATACAATGCACGTACCATTAGGTCACCCGGCCTTATGGAACTGGCATGTGGTAATCCTATTTCCTCTTCTACATTAGCACAATTTAATGCTGGAAAATGCTGCAATTTCCAAAGAGGCTTTCTTAGGCTATTAACTAGAATTGGGGGGGAAACGTATCTCTGTATTTAGGGCAAGAAAAAATTCAAGCATGGCATTCTTTCAAAAGCTCATCCATTTTTAGGCTTGCATGAGATCTAAAAAAACCAACAGGACAGCTTTAATGAATTAAATGCCACTTGTTAAAGCTGAAGCCATCAAATGGCCAACAGCTTAAACTTTGTGAATTGTAATATCAGGTAGATAGAAAAATAGTTACAGTTATGTTGCACACAGTTGCCTTTTAATTTTCTTTTGCATTAATATAAATATAATTAGTGTAAAGTTCTGTTCAGATCAATAAGCCATCCAGCAGCATCCATGGGGAGGTTAAAAAAAACCCCTCAAGATGGCAGTTATGGCATGTAATTGTAGAAGAAGAGCAGGTGGCACTGGAGACAGAGTTAAACATGTCATAAGCTTAGAGTACTTATGTTGCCACAAGCGATTCAAGTCCAAGTTCCCTTGAATTTCTTTGACCCTTATCTAATGCCAATTTAATGCCGGCCATTAGTTGACTAGATTCTTGTGTATAAGCTTGAAGAAATTTTCTGTGCTGCAGCTTAACATATTTTTCTGAACTTTTGTACCTGACAGCAATTGAAGCCTATTTGTATATATGTGACATTGCTGTAAATCAAATAACTTTTTTCACAGCCTTAAGACCTGAAAGATGTTGACTCTACAATTTTGCATACACAATTGTCAATTATATGATTTTCTTTGTGAAAAGGAGTGATGTCAGCCCTTTTGGCTACACAAAACCGAGAAACACACACTAATGAAGTATAATGAACTATATTTCATTAAGATAGGCTTAATGACGAAATCTTGCAAGCCTGATTGTGAGTTACTTTCTTATCTCTTATATCCTGTCTACGCTGTGGCCCTTGCAGTGCCTCTGCAGTTACATGATTATAATTTGAGTGCTTGGCAAGCTGCCCACATTTATGTCTGCATGAATGCTTCAACTCTCCCCCCCCCGCCTTCCCCCCCTTCTCCCAATCTCTGCCCTTTTGGCTACCCTGCATTCCACTGTACCTGCTGCTCTGCAGCACTTGCTGTCCTGCCCCCCGCCCCTTCCCGGTACTGTACCATTCCTGCTGCACCCAACCTGTCATCCCTCATCAGTAGCTGGAGGAAGAAGATGGCAAAAACCATCTGGGGCAGCATGCTATAGCAGGTTGACAGAGTATAGGAAGGTGTGGAGGCAGGGCAGAGTGAGGTCAGTGGGGGCAATAGGGGTGATGGAAGGCACAATGGCAGTGGCAGTGGAATGCAGGTCAGCCAAAACAGCAAAGATAGGATAGTAGGTAGGGTGAGTTAAAGCATAGGTGAGCACGGCTGGGCAGGAGAAGTGTGAAGTCCTCACCTAATAAGTGTGGTTCTGGCATTACAATGGCATACAAGACAGCGGTGAGTTTCAAATTTTTTTACTACCGGTTCTGTGGATGTGGCTTGTGGGTGTGGCATGGTTTGGTGGGCGTGGCTTGGTGGGCGTAGCAGGGGAAGGATACTGTAAAATCTCCATTCCCATCCCACTCCAGGGGAAGGTTACAGCAAAATCCCCATTTCCTCCCGATCAGCTGGGAATTGGGAGGCAGAGAATAGATGGGGGCGGGGCCAGTCAAAATGGTTACTACCGGTTCTCCAAACTACTCAAAATTTCTGCTACCGGTTCTCCAGAACTGGTCAGAACCTGCTGAAACCCACCTCTGATACAAGACTAGCGAAATGGCTGTACATTTCTTAGCAATGAAAATTTCAGTCCTAATGAAGGATGCTAAGTGAGGACTTTCCAGGACTTGAGGAATGTTTAAGCCCTTTTTGTTTCTATCCTGGCTCTTGCCTATTTCTTTCAAGGCCATCTCCCTGTGATATTCTGCACCACCTTCTCCATTAGCCTCAATCTTCCTTCTTGTGTGCACAGAAAATCTGAGGCCAGAATCATGGGAACAAACTGTCAATTTACTTCTCTCTTCTACCATTAGCCTTTGCTGAAATCACTAGACAAGTCCTATAACACAGTGGTTTTTTAAAAAATAGGCTTTTCCCTCAGTCCTTTAGGTTTTAGCAAATGAAATCAATCACATCAGAAAAGGGACTAGGAAAATGGTGAGGTTGCATCTGAAGGCTCTATAGCAGGGCTGTCAAACTCGTGGCCTCTGGGCCGGATGCGTCACGTGCTGGCCACACCCACATGCCCGGTTTAGCAAAGGGGGGAAAAAGTCACGATATGTCATGTGATGACACCGTGATGACGCGAGTTTGACACCCCTGCTCTATAGTCTGAAGTACTATCTTGGCAACTCACTGCAACAGAAAGCAAGGTTGTCCTAGAGTTTTCTTTGACAGAATTAATTGAAGGGGAATGGAAAATTTTATAATTGGTTTTAGTTTGGTTTAATCTCAGAGATTGCTAAAATACAGATAGTCCTTGGGTTCCGATGATTCAATTAATGACTGCTCATTGGCATTGAACAACTTCGGACTGGTCTGCGAAGTTGCAGCCATTGCAGCATTCCCATGGTCATGTTATCATAATTCAGGCACTTGGGCACCAGCTCACAATTTTGATAGTGGCACTATTCTGTGGTCCTATAGTTGTTATCTGTGACTTTCTTTGATGGCTTCCCAGAAGAAAAGTCAATGGAAAAGTTAGCAGGAAGTTGCAAGTCACTCCTGCTGCTTTATTGCCTGTCCATCCCTGTGTCTCCTTAGTGTCTGGCCCAGCACCCAACCACCTGCCCATGCGCCATAGTGCCCATCTGTGACACCCATTCATAGCTCTGACTATTTCTCTGGGACTCTACCACGGTGGCGGAGTGGTTAGAGTGCAGTACTGCAGGCTACTTCTGCTGATTGCCTGCTGCCTGCCATTTGGCAATTCAAATCTCACCAGGCTCAAGGTTGACTCAGCCTTCCATCCATCCGAGGTTGGTAAAATGAGGACTCAGATTGTTGGGGGAAATATGGCGACTCTAAACCGTTTAGAGAGGGCTGTAAGGCACTGTAAAGTGGTATATAAGTCTAAGTGCTATTGCTATTGCTACCTCATCCTGTATTACTTCTCATACACGAGGTCCTCACTTAACAACCCACATGGTCCTGGGGTTACAAGACAACTGGGACTGCCATTGCTAAGCAATGCTTTCATGTGACATCATGGTTTATGACCACATCACTTAGCAATAGACATTCTGGTCCCAATTGCCATTGTAACGTGAAAAACCCTGTAGAGACCTTTAAAAAAATGAACTGATGAGGAGGCTGCTTTCTTAAACCTGATGTGAGGAATGTCTAGATGTGGGCTCTGTTTGGAAATATGAAAATAATGCTGGTGCTGTTTTAATGAATAGAATTATGTAACCTTTAGCAATTACGAAAAATAGGTAATGCATTTGGTCAAAGACTGAAGCATTTCTTCTGAGGCATTTTTGAAACTTCCACAACCCTAATATGAACACAGAGAAGATAATGAAATAAAGTGAAGAGAGTAAGGAACAATTCTGTTCCAAGACATATATAGCAATAGTAATAGCAATAGCACTTAGACTTACACACTGCTTCATAGTGCTTTTACAGCCCTCTCTAAATGGTTTACAGAGTCAGCATATTGCCCCCAACAATCTGGGTCTATATGCTTGAATTACATCTAAAAATGAAGAATGCTAAAGTCTCTAGGAGTAGATAATAATCTAGGAGTAGATAATACTAAATCAAAATCCTATGAAACAAACATGTATATTTTAGATACTCAAGAAAGAAACACAACTAACTGAATGGAATAAAAACTGGGTGTTATTTTGTGAGGGAACTCTGGATAATATATAATTGGATTAAAAAAATATTTAGCCTCTGGAAGAAAGTTGAGAATTTGGAAAGCAAATATTTTGCCCTGTCAACTTTGAGGAAACATAAGATATGTTGAGGCATATATGTTTTGCCTGTAAATGACTTTTTCTGTTTTAATTGCAATAATACGCATGCGAACAACAGCTTTAAACTCAATGTAAATCATTATAAACTTGATTGTAAAAAATACGATTTTTGTAATAAGAGTTGTCAAGGTCTGGAATTCTCTACCTGATTCAGTTGTCTCAGCTACAAATTTTCACAGTTTTAGTCACAAATTGACTTCCGTGGACCTCACTTCGTACTTAAGAGGTCCGTAGAGGGGGCGT